ATTTCTTCGCTTGTCACGGATGCAAATCGGGACGCCATTTTTTCCCGAGTTGCTCGGAGGTAAATAGCAAAGGATATTCGGAGTTTGACTAGCCAATGAGAGCGCGCCTTCAACGCTATCCACTGTTTTAGTATATACTACTTAAAACTATCCAGACACCTTGGGGCGTTTTCATGAAATGCTCAGTGCTGTTTGTGAAATGAATTAGAACCTGTTTTTTTTTTAAGTGCTCACATTCAACAAAGGAGGTTTCAGTTACCTTTATATCATTTACCATTAAAACTGGAAATAAAGGCTCGTCGATCGCGCTTGATCGACAAATCGTCATTACGGGAGACTTACGTTACTAAATCTAAGATCAGACAAAGGTCACTTGAGTACTTTCCTCTGCTGATTCATTCTGAAAACACAGTAATTCGAAGAAGGGAAGTGGTGTTTGTATGCGGAAGTCAATGCGCATGAGCTTTTCCGATTACCTCTCTTGTCAAGCTAGAAGGCGTAAGAGCCATTCCAAACCGGGAAAGCAGGCAGATAACGTTTCAATCCAGTTGCTTGCTAGGTTATGAGGAGGTCTTCAGGAACCTTTCGATTGACCATTGCAGAACACCAGGCAGAACACTGTGGAACGCTGCCGACTACTTTTGTTGTTTTCAGGGCCGGACTATCTTTCCAAAAGCAAAAATCAAGGACGAGCAAGCAACCCTCTGGTTAAGATTCAGGCCTGTCATGATCACGCTAACTTGTCATCGGTTGACTGTTGTTGGGTTAGTGAAAGACAACTCTCAACTCAACTCAACTCCACTCTTTTGACTAATAATCTCCAGTCATTAATGCAGCCTTCAAATAGCAAACGAATACTACCCCCTGTGAATATGCATAGAGGAGATATCGTGACAACTACACAGTCGAACGTACAAAACACGCTCAAAATGCTTCTAAAATTGAATTTGGAGAAGAAACATGGACTAACTTGTACTCAATTATCAGTTTTATTTGACTGGTTCCACTCTAAGTCAATGTTCAATACAGTTGGAAGACGACACCCAAGTGATAACATCGTGAGACAAACGATCACATTTCTCTTTATTTACCAGGATGAATAACCACAACCTATTTTACGATATAAACCTGAAATAGGCTTCACAGCCCTGGGGTTGATTCGTCAGTCTGAGCATTGCTCAAGGAAGTTCGCACGCTTCACCAACCATCTCACCTTTCTAACAAGGTGCATTATTCAAGAAGCGTGAAGGGCGCGCGAAAATTCGCTGAACTATCATCCATGCGTTTCCACAGGGAACGAATTAGAGTGACGCAGAAGGCTAAAGGAAATACGAAGAAGGAAACAGAATCCGTGGCTCAGAGAATATCATCAAAACTCTAGCGGGACGACGCTTGCAGGATATCAGAACAGATCAGCACCAACAACCAACAGGTCTTCAACACCACAAAAGAAAGACAGCAGCAGAAGCCTAATTGACTGGCAAAGATAAAAGGCACTCTTTTGGACATCGAACAGTTCAAAGCAGGGGAATTGTTTGCAAACTGATACGCCAGTGCGTACTAAAAGACAAAACTGTCTGCGGGAAAACCTACCCAGCATGCAGCAGTGAAAGTTGGTATCACTTATGACAAAATCGAAAAGTAATGAAATTTTCCGTGAAATTTCCTCATCAAACGCTCGAGCGCACGAACAAGAAAGAAAATTAAAATTAATCTCAAGTTTTCTCCCTTCACCATAGCAACCAAGCAGGAAGTCGGTTTAAGGTGGCGACGAAGCCATAAAACTAAACGCTTAGAGTTGGCACCCGCCTAACAATGTCATAAAAACCCGCACAACTGCACTATTAGTATGCATTCTCCTGGGTCAGCGCAAAAAGTTTCTTAAAAAGGAAGCACCATAAAAAAAAATACACCAGAGTATTTCAAAACTATTTCTGCTGTTCACGATTTCTGAGTCTGACGACAACGGCCCTGAGAGAGAGAGAAGTCAGTTATAACTTCCATTTCATTGCCACGGTACTAGGGAAATGTTTGTGAGCCAAAGTTTTTTAACATCAGTGTGTTTAATGTGCAGCTTTCAACAGCAATCTTCATATACACGAACCAGCTCGTTACAGTACAGTTACTTTATCACTCTAGCCCAGTAAACTAAATTCTGAACTTGATCATTGGACTAAGTCTACCATTAAAATATTGATTTGGAAAAATAGAAATACTTAGTATAAAACGTAAAATAAATACATGAGCTTACAAAAGAAATACAGTAAAATCCCGCGAGTAAGAACCTGTTAGCCTAAAATTTGCCATTTATACCCCCTATAAACCATCCTCGGAGACCCAGGGGCTGAGTCGATTTCAAGTTAAGATCAGAAGAGGCCCTGGGGACATTGTCTTACAAGACTAGTTCGAAACGGTCGCAGTCGTTCTGGCATCTGATTGGTGCCAGAAAATCTTTGTGTTTTTCTGCCCAATCAGAGTGAAGTGTGCTTTGGAGTCCTTTCGTGTGTTTTAATACGGACATATAACAAGAAGCTCAGTTGCTCGCTATGTTTGTTTAGGTCGTGCGACGAAGCTTTGCCCAAGGTAAAAAGTTTCAGTCTCAGCACGCAATGTAAGAGAAATCGATCAGATTGTCCGAGAAAATCTTACCAGTAATTATACTGAATACTTTCGCAGGTATCACAAGAGAACGTGTTAAAAAATGTGCGAAGTTCGTATTAAACATAATGGTTGCATGCATTGATANTGCTTTATCATGTCTGTTGCCCCGATACAAAGATTTCTTTATCGTCAACATATCACCTGACAAATGAAAAAATGGAAACTTCAAGAGTCTCTAGCTTTTGAAGAAAGCTAGCCAAATAATAGTTGAGGGTCATATGTCTATATGACCAATCTTCTGCGTAAAAAGCTACGAAATATATTCTATTCTTGGAACATCGATTTTTCTAGGGAAAAGGGGAAAACCGGGAAGCAAATGCTTTCACCTATACGTCATTCCTACTCTTTTAATCCAAGCTAGATGTACCTACATTTTCCCCTCAGTGTAACTATTACATCTCTTTCATAATTATTGTGGGCTATTCCAACGGTCAAAACGTATCTCACAGTCTTATCTACATCATTTTTAGAGTTACTGTACATAGGGTGGATAAAAATTGCTTCCTTATCTTAAATTAACAACTATTCTTAGACTAAATGAATCGATAGTACACTGCGTTTTTGTTTGTTTCCTTGCAAATGAAACAGAACGCCTAGTAAGTTATTTCTTAACAACTTTTAGTATAAGATAACGCTAAGAAATCACGACAGTTTCGACCTCTCTGAGGTCATTTTCAAGTGAGTAAGTTTTCCAAGTCAGCATAAATATGTTGAAGCAAATTGAAGACGATAAAATGTGGCTAACGCTAAAATATGTGAAAAAGTGTAAACAATATACAATGGAAGAGAATAAAAGAATAAAAAAATAAAGAATAAAATAATCGTAGAACGAATTCGGTTCTAAACAAATTGATTCAATTCGCGCCAAACTATTTGTTTGCTTCAACATATTTATGCTGATTTGGAAAACTTACTCACTTGAAAATGACCTAAGAGAGGTCGAAACGTCGTGACTTCTTAGCGCTATCTTTTATTTCAAAGTCGATTTCTCAGAAACTACTTGTTAACTTTTAATATTCAGTTCTTTTCGCATACAAGGTTACCACAGCACCACTTATGCTATATTTTTCTTTTTTTTTTCACTTCAGAGTTTCGTGTGCCCGTATGTTAAAATGAGACCGATGGGTGATCTCCGTTTTTCATTAATGAATTGCAAACACTACGATTCGTTTTTCTGCAAAGTTTTTGAAATAATAGTCATGATAAGTCCAGTACCATTTTTTAAACTTGCGAAAATTTAACACCGTGACCAGCAACTTGATTCCGTTTTGGGGGCACTTTCTTTTTCTCTGCCAGATATGTAAACATCAATATCAGACAAATCTAAGTTGTCATAGATCTCATTTGCAATCATTCTAAACATTTCTTCAACATTAAGGCCACTTTTTGCACTGGTCTCGATGTGGCTAATGCCAAGCTATTTGGCAGAATTTTCCCCATTTTCTCTAGAGATGACCCGTCATGCCTCCTCTGCTTTATTACCTACTAAAGTTAAACTCACATTATCGGGTGCATACTTTTTAATAAACTTGTGCATTCTGGGAACTCCTTTAATGAAAGAAGACCTATTTGTTACATCATACACAATAACAATACCTTGAACGTTTCGTATGAGCTGTGGAACAATGGATTGACACTTTTCTTGCCCTGCAGTATCAGAAATTTTTAAAGTAAACTCTCGGTCGTGCAGACGGATCGTAGAAATCGCAAATTCCAAGCCAACCGTAGGAACAATTTTATCAAAGAAGCTGTGTTCACAGTATCGTAAAATGAGGGATGACTTTCCTACACCGGACCCTCCGAGAAGAACAACATCAATCTTCGGAGTTTTTCCCCCCTTCGCAATGTGTTCTTTTTGTTTTATCTTTGCAGATTCGCACTGAAACAACTCAATGAGCTCCTCAGCGCCAGGTCTCCTCTCACTGGAATCTTCGATACATTTAAAGACAATCTCCTTAAGTTTATGCTCACCCATCATCCCTATGTCACGCTTACGACGCTCCCTTTCTGGAATTTGTCGACCATCTGTTCAATACAGAGAAAAAATAAGTATAATTTGCTGCACCACTTAAGCTTAAGAAGTCATAGTACTAATGCTTAGGCACTAGAACTGTCATGAGCAACATATGACTGCCAACTTCCCGTGCATGTTCCCGGGTTTAAGTTATATTTCTAGATACTATATACGTTGCACCACAGGACGAAAACCAAAAAGAAACAGAAATTTTTTCAACTAATTTTTGTAAAATTGTGACTTTTCACGATCGGGGTCTGCATAATTCTAATAAATAGCCTCTTTTCTTCCATTCAGTGCCATTTCAACAGAAGACCCCGTTATGTTTCTTATTTATTTCTTTTTTTTAGCATTATACTAAAATAAAGTTTACACCAGACTTAAGACCATTGCCACCTATTTTGAGGTTTTGTTCTCTTTTCAGAATTTAAGTTTCAGTAGTGTGAAGAACTCATGAGCCACGCACGTATGCATTGCGGACCTGTATTTTCCTTGCCTCACTTTGACAGATTACCATAAATATGTCTCTGCTTAGATATGTTGTTTATAAAAGGACAATACGTACCGCTCGCAAAAGGTACACATGGTTGTGGCGAAGGAAGCTTTCCATTTATAACTTCCATCAAAGTGATTCCGAAGGAAAAGATGTCAATCTTGGTGTCATATTCGACTCGGCAGCCTCCAAGCATAGCAAACCTTGGATCATAGCCTGGTACAAACGTTTCTGGTGCAGCATAAACTGGGGTTCCGGGCACAGGAGAACAATACATTTGTTCGCCTTCTGATAGCATTTTAGCAACACCGACATCAGCAATCTTAGCCTGCCTTTTCTTGGTAAGAAGTACGTTTTTGCTGGCCAAGTCTCGATGAATTATCGGCGGATCTTGTTGATGAAGATACGTGAGACCTTCCGCTACGTCTAGCATAATCGAGACAGTTTCCGAATACGGAATCTTCTCTGGACGACAATTATCAATATGCTTTCTTAAGTCACAATCCAAGAGTTCAGTTATCAGCACTGGCGGTGAAGTATGTGAAATGATAAACTCCAATAACGTAACTACGTTTTTGTGCTGGAGGTTTTGAAGAATTTTGCATTCCGCCTCAAACTACGCCAAATATTTTTTGTTGCGAGGATTTTTGAAGAGGTTATCGTGAGGGATTTTCACGGCTACTTGCCTACCTTTCCACTCGCCTTTGTAAACGCTTCCAAAACTCCCGCTCCCGATAAGTTTCTTCTTCTTAAGGTTTGGTAACATTCTGAACAGAACTGAATTTTGCTCGTAAAACCACCAATTAACTGTTTGTAGTGCCTACATCAAAGCCGGAAGTAATCAAACTTACGCTTCTTAGATGTCTTGTTCCCAAGCTCCTCTCTAACAATGACATCTCCATATAACGGGTCTGCGTCTCTTTCCCAACGCCCCCACCACCAGGGCCACATAATTTATGCATACATCGTCAGATCATCGAGCATAATTGCAAAATGATTGAACTTCTTGGTAAGTCAAAAAGTAAGTAGTGTTTTTATTTAATGACGGTAACACATTATAGTTAAAAACTAGTGACCTAGAATCCCTCAAAGAAACTGATGCACATTATTCAAAAACGTACAACATTTCGGTTAGAGACCTTCTTCAGTTATTTACCTGAATATAACTTATAACCAGAAGTTGTCCATCCTCGTATTTCTTTTTAAAGTGCACCTACACCCAAAAAATTTTTTTCGCTTAACGAAGTAAGCTTATTTTTTTGAGTATTTCTGCGAAAAAATTTTTTTATTTGCTCAAATCTTCAATTTTCTATGCCCAGTCAAAATACGGAAAATCGGCCGCCATCTTGCCCCACGACCGAGTTTAAAGAGGAATGGCTCTAGTGGGTAATGTGACGTCAAATCGAGAACACGAAAGTCTGCATTTCACACATTTTCACTTGTTTGGGAAGGTTGTAGTAGATAATTGTCCGAAAATATGCCGACTAAGTGTGTTGTAGAAGGATGTAGCAACGTGCGAAATTTGCAAGAGGGTATCGCGCTTCATACATTCTTCATACAACACACCTAGTCGGCATATTTCGGACAATATCGACGACAATCTTCCCAAACAAGTGAAAATGTGTGAGATGCAGACTTTCGTGTTCTCGATTTGACGTCACATTACCCACTAGAGCCATTCCTCTTTAAACTCGGTCGTGGGGCAAGATGGCGGCCGATTTTCCGTATTTTGACTGGGCATAGAAAATTGAAGATTTGAGCAAATAAAAAAATTTTTTCGCAGAAATACTCAAAAAAATAAGCTTACTTCGTTAAGCGAAAAAAATTTTTTGGGTGTAGGTGCACTTTAAATGCCTCTATGTCCTTAGATGTCTACGTAAAGAGG